GTACGCTCAAGACTGGAATAGGTACTGTGCCCTAGTGGGAATCCTATAGTAAGATTTTTTATAATTATTAAAAAATGCGCTAAAAACAATTTAGTCTATGCACTCTAAAGGAAATGAAAGGAAAGGTTTATCTCCAAACTATAAGATATGCAAGTATCCACTTCTATCAAACCCGGATTTTCGTAGTTCATTTGTGATTTGACCGTAACAGCACTAGATAAGCGTAAGTAATACTACTCGTAATTAGTTTTTGGAGTTACTGACAATTGTTTGCAAGGTGTCTTTTTCACTGTATTGTTTTTAACTCAACTTGGAAAATATGCGATTTCCGTTTTTTTGATTTTTTGTTTTGCTTTGCTTGGGGAAATATCTTATAATTTCAATTGATTTTTATAACTTTTAACGGCCTACTAATTACTAAGAGGATTTGAAGATTGAAAAACACTGAATTATTAGAAATTGTTAAATTATATACAAAAAATATATAAAAGTTAAATACACCATTGGTTATATCGTTAGAAAGGTAATCAAATCCTACATTTGATGCAATACAAAAACTTGGTAATTCCATTTAAAAAAATCAAGTTTAACCTTTGATTGAAAACAGTTTAACTTTGAGCATTCGGATTATGTTAGTAAGTACATTTCATGAGCAGAGTCACGGCCTTCTAAGTTTTATGGTAAGTGCAATATTCAATTGTTACTGGACATCTACTTTTTTAACTTTCAAAAATACGCTAAAAAACGAATTGCTAAACGACTAATTTTAGATTATCATGTGTAATACATAAAGTCACACTAAAATTGACCAAGGAATCGAAATATGCAATAATATACAGAGAGTTCTATTGAAAAAATGCAACTTTAACATAAATCACTCTGTAGGTATAACATTGCAATTTTGTTGAAAATATTTTTAGGTTGTTGCCTTAAGAGTCCTTTACCATGCTTCGATAATGAATTTTAAATATTTGTTTCCACCCAAACAGTAATGGCCCACCCTGTATACTTATCCATACTTATCTTTGTATACTCGTTTCTTAGCAAGATATAACCTATTACTATACGGTTATTGTCTTTTTTATAGAGTACTGATATCGTTAATATGAACGGTGATCGTCAAGGGAGTGTTTGTGAAAATTATCACAGGAGCCCATTGGAACCATCTTCCAGAAGTACGCCGTTCTTTGATCCGGGAACTTCTCTGCTCGAGATAATGCTATAGTCAAGTTGGTTTAGGACCAATGTGTGAACAGCTTTATAGTTTTATATTTGTAGTTTTCATGTTATCCTTATCATTATTGGAATAAACCGAATTGCGGAAACTTCCTGCGTAGTTAAAGGAATGCTTATTTAATCATTTAAATTTACTATTTTATAATTGTAGGTTTCATTGTTTTCTAATATAAATTTAATTATCTGACCAGCAAGGAAAATTGTAGAAATTAGTCTTTAATTCATTGCTTAATCATCTGTTTGGGATAATCTCTTGTTATTTTTGTAATATTTCGAGTTTCTTTACAGTGGGAAGTAAAAAGGTTTATTTTACAGACATACCCATATGAGAGTTGCATAATCTGTACAAATATACTGGAATGCTTAAGTTTCCGAATATTTTGCAAATAACCCACATTTTGGGTTACGAAGTTTTAAATATTAATTAGATTGTTTGCGAAGGAAAAATCCAATGAATTATTTCCTATTCCTAACCCATTTTTATCTTAACTAGCCTGGGAAGTAAAAGCACGGAAGGTAGTTCCAAACGTAGAGAAAGTTTGCAAGAATATATGGAACCGCACCACGAACCTGAGAGAAGTAGGACATCCATTACAAAACTTTTACAAAAACTTAGCATGATCTTTTTTAATTACCAATAATTAAAAATTTGATTCAGTTGAAACCAAGAACCCAGTTGCAGCTTCATCTGGTTCTGGAGTTGAATTGCAAAGCTGCATTGGTCAAACGGGTTGTAAACCGCCGCAGATCCAGACGAAAGTTTCATCGAGATGACTAAGTAAATGTAAAGATTCAGTGTATCCAATTTATAAAGAAATGTATTTGTTTATTTATTTATTGTTCCCCCTTCTTCGGAACCCTTAAAAAGCTTGTGCCCCATTACAGAGTGACCTGCATAATGCTTTTTAGAGGTGCCCCTGCGGAAAAACCTAATTCGGAGTAGCCGGAAGAATACTCGAAGCTGATGTCACAGTTGAAACATTCTTGCCTCAGCCCAGGTTCGAACACCCGACCATCGGCATTAAGCATTGTGCATTAATCAGTTTGGTGTTCCCTGGCCCATTTCTCATTTCATAGTCTGTATTGTACCAAATCCAGCCAAATCAGTTCCAAATATGAATCAAAATGGGGACGTGTATTGCGCAATGTTTCAGTTAGGGAATGCAATGCCAGGATGGCCGGATCCCGAAATACCACGGGCAACTTCGTAAATTTGATTATTTCGCACTTTTTGTAGCGAATATTCTAGAAATCCAGATAGACATGGGGGCGCCATAAAAGATGGGTACTCGCACAAATATTAGGGAAGAACACCTCATTGGATTTGTCGTATGCCTATCGTATCATGTCGTATGGGTGGCACTCCCTAGGTACAGACGTCTTCAGGTCGCATCAATAGCCGTCTGTGTGACTTAACGACAGTTGTGGTATGACTGCCGGGACCGCCCCCTTCACACGCCCTCCGAAGCATGGTAGTTAGGAGATGTTCTGTATCACTAAAACTGGCAAGTTGTGGGATTCAAACTCACAATCGGTGAGATTAGAGTCCGAGTCTTAAACCGCTACTATAAAACATTCACATCAACTTCAGATTATGTACTATTTCCACAAATCATACTCTGCTTTTAATGTTTCAGAACCTTCGACCTCCAGTTACCGAGTTAAAACTCGGGAATTTAATTTTGTATTGAATTGGCACCGTTGTATGTATAATTTTTAGGTATGGGTCACCGTTTACGACTTATATATGTAACAAGTTAAAAAGTAATCGTAAACGATTTACATAAAGCGCATTTCCACTTGCATTCATTTCCCATTTATAAGATGCAACTTCTGTTAAAATCGTAAAAATCCGGCCACAAATATGAAAGATAGCGTTGCACATGGGCAATCCATTTTTGACGTGCTACTTCAATTTCAGTTTATGAGAAGAATTTCATTTCAATGCTTTTCTAAATAAGAAAGTTGGAACTGCGCATGCGCAAACCTAAATTTTAAAACTAATGTTAGATTTCCCTTTGTTCCAAGCGCCTAAGTATCAAATTTCACTTAAATGGTTCCATAGATAAAAAAGTTGGCACTGCGCATGCGCAAAATAAAATTTTGAAACTGGCGCTAGATTTTCCTTTATTCCAAGTGCCTATGTATCAAATTTCATTTAAATTCTTCCATAAATAAAAAAGTTGGCACTGCGCATGCGCAAAGCCAAATTTTGAAACTGGCGTTTGATTTTCCTTTATCCCAAGTGCCTATGTATCAAATTTCGTTTAAATTCTTCCATAAATAAAAAAGTTGGCACTGCGCATGCGCAAAACCAAATTTTGAAATTGGCGTTTGATTTTCCTTTATCCCAAGTGCCTATGTATCAAATTTCGTTTAAATTCTTCCATAAATAAAAAAGTTGGCACTGCGCATGCGCAAAACCAAATTTTGAAATTGGCGTTTGATTTTCCTTTATCCCAAGTGCCTATGTATCAAATTTCGTTTAAATTCTTCCATAAATAAAAAAGTTGGCACTGCGCATGCGCAAAACCAAATTTTGAAATTGGCGTTTGATTTTCCTTTATTCCATGTGCCTATGTATCAAATTTCATTTAAATTCTTCCATAAATAAAAAAGTTGGCACTGCGCATGCGCAAAACCAAATTTTGAAACTGGCGTTTGATTTTCCTTTATCCCAAGTGCCGTATCAAATTTCGTTTAAATTCTTCAATAAATAAAAAAGTTGGCCCTGCGCATGCGCAAAACCAAATTTTGAAATTGGCGTTTGATTTTCCTTTATTCCAAGTGCCTATGTATCAAATTTCATTCAAATACTTTTATAAGTAAAAAAGTTTGCAATTCGGTTTATAAATGGTCGAGATGCGAAAAGGGCACTGTGAATTTTGAATCGATTCGATTCAACTTTTGGCATTGCGTATTATATGGCTAAAGCTATACCCATATTGAATTTCATGCAATTCAGTTCATAACTAACGGAGATGTAAAAGCGATCGAACATTTCTAAACAAAGTTATCGTTCACACGGACAGATAGATGGACAGACAGACAAAGGAACAGACGGAGAGACCAACCGGCAGGCGACAGATAGCAATGCAAAATTATAAACGATCTCTAGGATCGTTAATAAACGGCAAAAGTGTAAAATTATGGAACATGTAAAAAACGGTTTTTTGTTTTTTTTACAATAACTTTTTTTGTAAGCGGTACAGAAAAAATTCCTTCCTTGGTACAAGACTCGACACCATAACGAACCAAATAGCGAAAAAAGTAGAACAATAGAACAATAGCTCTTAAGATAAAGAACTAGTAGCGTCGCAAAACGAGCGGACGGACGGACGGACGAACAAAGTGGCCACAATAGCGCATTTTTTTTATTTTTGTGGAAATGCGCTAAAAAGATAGGCTTAGAAGGCAACATCTTGGATTTTATTAGCCAATTTATGCAAGAACGATATTTCACTATAAAAATAGGTAACAGCTTATCAAAACAGTTCACCCAGGAAAATGGTGTTCCGCAAGGGTCTGTACTGAGTGTAACACTCTTTCTCTTAGCAATAAATGACGTCGTAGAATCTGTAAACAGCCCAGTAAAAATTCAACTATATGCAGACGACATTATAATATATTGCAAAGGAACAAAACTCGTAGACATAACATCACAGCTGCAAAACACAATAACTAACTTAACACAATGGACAGAGAACTCGGGCTTTAAATTCTCACCTCAAAAAACAAAAGCAATTTGCTTCACTAGACGAAAAATGACCTGCACACCTCTTTTAATTTTAAACGGACAACCTATTGCTTATCAAAATTGTATAAAATATTTGGGGTTGATCTTCGACTCTCAACTCTCTTGGATACCACACCTAAACCAACTCAAAAAGGACTGCAAACAACGACTCAATCTACTCAAATCATTATCAAATTACGAATGGGGCGCTGACAAGAACACATTAAAACTACTCTACAAAACATTAATCCTGTCCAAAATAGACTACGGCAGCATAATATACGGAGCTGCAAACAAAAATATTTTAAAAACCATTGATGCAATTCACCACGCAGGTCTTCGTTTCGCTATCGGAGCTTTCCGTACCAGCCCAACTATTAGCATACTATGCGAAGCTGGAGAGCCCACCCTAGAACTACGAAGGGAAAAAATCGTAAGCAACTATGCAATAGCTTGTATATCCAATAATAATCACATAAACTCTACACTTTTCACCACACAGGCCTTAAACACCCAACCACACCACCCACGAATCATACCACTCAACATAAGGGCACAAAAAATCCTTTCCTCCCTGAACAAACCTTTACCTATCCCAACCTATAAGTATCCTTCCGTCACTCCTTTCTGGTTAACTAAATCCCCTAGTACCCACCTCGATCTATCAGTCTATATAAAAACAGAAACCAACCCAAAATTTTATACCAACAAACTAAATGAAATAATTAATGACAAGTTTCTAAACCACGAACTCATATACACGGAAGGTTCGGTCAAAAATCACAAAACTGGATGTGCTTTCATACACAAAGACTATAATGAAATGTACCGCCTAGCGGAAGACACTTCAAATTACACAGCCGAAGCGGTAGCTATAATAAAAGCCCTAAAGTACATAAAACAAAGTGAAAATAAACAGTATGTGATTCTCTCCGACTCGACAAGTGTACTGAAGTCCATAAAAAACTGTTTATCGCCAAACCCCCTAATTAAACAATTCTCCGACTTAAATAAGGATGTACACAACAACGGCAAGACTGTGGACTACATCTGGACCCCATCACACATAGGTATCGCAGGAAACGAAGCCGCAGATAAGTTAGCCAAAGAAGCGACTGAAAAACCAAATATCGACGAAAAAGTGCTCACAACCTACGACCTCAAAAAAAGTATCCACAAAAACCTTAGACAAAAATGGGAAATCCAATGGAAAGTTTTCGACCCACTGACGAACAAACTACGATCAATTAGAGCCACTACATTCTTCGATGGCGGTTACCATAAATTGACACGAAGAAAAGACCAGGTGGACATCACAAGGCTGAGAATTGGACATACCCGAGTTACCCACGGCCACCTAATGAGGAAAGAGCCACCAAAAATGTGTGAACAATGCCAAGCCCCCATAATAAAAATCACCTAATAACCGAGTGCAATGCTTTTGAAAACGAACGAAGGAATTGTAACATTACGAACGATCAGACGACCAACCTAACAACAAATACCATATAGCAAACATAATTAGATTTATCAAACTAACGAAACTAGAAATATAACATACTGTGTCAACATGTATCACACGGCGCTAATGACCACGTAGTTGAAGGGTCTTAATTTCAAATAATAAAAAAAACTTACCTTGTAAGATCTTTCCGATTTTGTCAAATTTCTACTTTAAATGAGAGTGCGAAAAGGTATGAGCACATCAAATCCAAAATTAGTTATTTAAAGTTTCACGAAATTTACTGTGTACGTTCTTTAGCTGTTTTATTTTCTCTCGCATGGTGCGCGCCTGAATAATTTAGAATCTTACATTTTTTCGTTTTTTTTGGCAAAGAATCTGAGATGTCAAAAACTAAACTTTTATAGTTATGTTAAAAAATCACCCCCACAGATACTACATTTTAGGAATTCTGCGTGATTAAATTTGAAAGTTTCATTCTCGTAGGTGCTATGCACTATGCTGATAACTCCGTGCGTTTAATTAAACTTTAGAAGTGTTGATACGCAAAGGTGACATTCCAATTTGAGTGTTATGAGAAGGATGTCAGCAATTCCAAGCTGCATACTTGTTCACCTCATATATTAAAATAAAACTTACTCTATTATAATATTTTGTTGTATAACGATCTAAAGGTCACCAGCTGAATTGGTCCCCTGGTATATAGATCCCAAAGCTTCTTAATCGGTAGTGTTTATGTTCTTAGTGCTGCAACAGTAGACTTTTTGCAGATCCCTACACTTACGAGATCTGAGATCTATAGATACTTACGTAAATGATTGAGACAAGCCCGCGTCGGCAAATAAAAATGAAACATGATCTATAGACATCCCAGTTACAGATTTAATTAGATTTCGGACCACTGGACACTAGGAAAGTATGTATAACCATAGAGGAAATACAATTTTACTCTATGGTATACTAAGTGAATGAGGACAGCACTAAAAGGTCTTTTATGATATGAAAAGTTACCAAAGAGTGGAAAATATGATCTTGGGCCGGTTTTACTATTATACGCGCCAACGCGACAAACATAAAACGAGTAAAGAAACAGTATAAGTACCTACCTACTGCAACAACAATGAATAATGAAGTGTAGATCGTAAAATGTACCTTTAACATTCATTCATTTGAGTATACAGGCTGCTAATCACCTGCCTTTTTAATTTTATTGAACGATATTTTACGTAGGTAATTAAAATTGAACACTGACAATGACACCGTTGCATTATTTATAACTTAATAGCCGTTACATTTAGAGGAAAAGATTTCCTAATTTATTAATTTTGTAACGGAAGATTAATATACCACTCCTAAAATAACTTCATTACTAATCTATAAGGTATTTCAAAAAATTACAAACATTTTAATTAAAGTCAAAGCCAGGCAATATGTTGCGAAATTGGCGGAAATTGAATTATAACAAAAATATACCCAGAAAATTTATATGTGCCTACTAACATAATCAAGTGCAACGTAAATATTCTACTTTTCAGTAGTAATGAGAATTTCTAAAATACTACGAACAGAACAACGTACAAATTGCGTTACGCGGTAACACTAATTTGACCTCATCTCATTACTGGCGTTAGATCCGTACTATAATCACTTTACAACTTTTCCAGCTATGCTCTTGGTTTTTCTGCGAAAACGAATTTCATTTTTATTCCTGTTACATTCGTGAAAATGTAAGGGAACGTGAAGTTCGATGGTGCAATGAAAGCACGCTTGTTCAGTACAAGATTTTTTCTAAAGTTAAAATTCTATCGAAAACACACTTGTGAAGTTTCCTGTCACAGAAAAGATTCACAAGTCATGTGCTGACGTTTTCCATACAACAGCACATTGATTTTACCAAAAAAATCTACTGTATTATGAATGTTGACAAACTATCCGCAATTTTTAGGCCAAATCATTACTGCGTTATTCATATACACACTTGGTAAGGGTAACGTCTCTAGATGTTGCGCTTTCAGCCCACCAATTTTGACAATTGGTAACGTTGCTTGATTAGGCCCTAGCACAGTTACCTACACCCACATATAGGATCGCAGACCCTCGTAAAAGCAGGACTATTATTGCTTTCAAGTTTTAAAATTTGGCCTTGTTTGGGCTGCCGAAGATCTATTACAGTGCCTGTTTCCATAGTAGCTTTCCCTGGCTTTGTCTAAACTTTCACTCACGTACACTTAAAGTGTTCCCCAAAGGCAAGAACCGATATACGCTTTTAACGCATTAATTTATGCTTGTTTTGAGCTGATTTGTAGGCCCCCACACTTCGTACGTCAAAATTTGTCAATGTTTAAGTCTTCGGTCGAAGAATGACTTGTCCGAAACCGACAAAACGTTCATAATGTTCAAGATTGGGCGACCAAGTCAAAAGTTATGGGTAAAAAAACCTGATTTACAAAGAAAATGAGAAGGTATAACTTTTCATGTCCAATCTTGAATGTTCATTTTCCGATCTAAAATTCGCCTGATAGATTTCGACCTGTAAAATTTAAAACAACTGAATTTTCAAGATTGGACAACTAAATCATTAAAACGGTTGCAAAGACAAGGAAAAGGGGTGTAACTTCTGGTGAAGTGATTCTTAACTCTTGAGACATAGAATCTTTCAAAAATATTCGTTTTTGAATCGATGTAAATCGACGTTCTATAAATTTTAGAAGCAAGCCTAGTTTTTGCTTTATACTTTTCGGAACTTTCTCCACTGTGCCTCTTAATATAATCAAAGTAGCGTAATTTTTCTCACATCTCGTAACTCTTCAGGCTATAATCTTTGAGAAATTTCAATCGATCTAAGTCTAAGACAATAGCACTTTCTATTAATTTTATAGGCAAGACTACTGCAGTCCACTGTATCTCTTAATATAATCATAATAGGGTAATTTTTCTTAGTTTTGTCAGCTCTCCAGGCATTTTTAGATCTACGCTTGCCTGTAAGGTTAGGGTTAAGGGTTAATACTAATAAACTATATTTTTATTCTCAACCGCTTCGAAGATATAGACAACAATTGCCATTTTATTTTAACTACCTAGTTTTAATAAGGTGGCTAAAAATCAATTATTTCTAGCCAACTATAAACAGTTCCGATATTATGATTGTATCAAGGGATACAGTAGACAAACTACCCGAAAATGTAGCAATGGCTATAATCTTGCCTTTAAAATTCATTGAAGGTACTACTTACTTTAGATCGATCAAAAATGAACAATTCTGAAAGAGTATTGCCCGAAGAGCTAACAGAAGTGATATAAAATGACGCTACTTTGATTATATTAAGAGGAACAGTGAAAAAAACTACCAAAAAATATAACAAAGTCTATAGTTTTGCCTATAAAATTCATAGATGGACAATTTGTTTTAGATCAACCGAAAAATGAATATTTCTGAAAGGTTATACCAGAAGAGTCGACAGAAAGTTACGCTACTTAAGCTTAACTATAACATTCATAGAAAGTCAACTTGTCTTGATCACGCGTCCACCCTTGTCCCGCTTGTCTTGGTCAAGTAGGCTCCTTGGAATGGACGTGAACGTTTGATATAGCATAAGCATCCCCCGTAATAGAACGTCCTATCAAGGCTATTACCGATTCTCTTCCTTATGAAATATCGACTCCAATTCCCAACCCCGACCCCTCTCAAAAAGCATATACTCTAAACTCGCCCCTGTGTAAAGACTTTGCTATATTTTCCGTTAGTTTGTCTATGCTGTTTGCTGTACCTCTATAATCACAACTCTGTCCACTATAATATTTCAGAAAGTACCTATTCATTTTTGGGTTGAGACACTTTGTATAATTTAATAGGCAAATTATGTAGATGGAAAGGATTTATATAGGAATAAAATTAATACCGACGTTGCTGTTGGGTTTCGGGTGTGCTCCTTTTCAAAGAAATGTAATGCAATGTAATAAAGAACGTGAATGGGTGCTTTCACGGACGTACTTGATATTATGCGCTTGAATTGCAATGGTATTGTAGTATTACATTATACGGTTGCATCATTGTACCTATCACGTTTTCTTGCACTATTTAGTTTAGTTCAATATTATTTGAGCCCTTGACACTTTGACAGATGTTTTTAACTCTATCATAGTTATTGTATGCAGGATTCAACGTAGCAATTATACATGACAGACAGAGATGTATGTGTATTCACGTCAAGATTGGAGATATTTCGTAGCTCTATTTTTAGTGTTTAAATATATAAATAAAACGTACGACGTCATTAAAACACCTCGGTGATGAATCGTATACCACGTTTAAAATCAATAGGTATAATTATATATTACGTCATACTCATTCATAAAACTGCAATATTGTTTATTTTATCATAATAACATTTCCATTCACTTAACGGATTATTTTTGAACTTTAACTTGAACTTGAAGTTTTAATTATATTCAAATTGCTAAATATAAAAAGAGAGTCATACAAATTGTATACACAATCCGCGCAGGAGGTTAACATAAATAATTATTTGTGTAAAATGAATCATTTTTATGTCATTTTGATCATACTATAAAACAATCATTTTTTTATATATGCAAATTGAGTAAAAAGTTTAAGAATAGCTCGATTTCACTGTTAATTGTATGTAATAGCCGATGGATGAAAACGTTCATTGTAATTGAAAGTTTATTGCACCAACAGCATTGATTTGCATACTTTTTGAAATTCCCGTATAAAATTAACACCTTATAAATTATTATCTGCAATTTTCTTTCTGCAAAAAATTGTAAACTCCTTATGGCACCACTTCGCACCCTACATACCCTTCAATGGGGAAATTCTTTATTCAAGCAAATTGGGAAGTGAAAAATTCGCCACGTTTCACTTTTTCACACTTATTCATTTGATATTTAGTTGCTTAGGGTTTTATATCGACGTTGCGATCCCCCATTTTAAACTGAAT